AAGAAATAAACTTCATATGAATCTATGTCCTAAACATCTTAACTTTTTAGATACAGGGTGGTAAAATTTTTCAATTTTTTTTCAAAATATCTCTGATGGTATATTTGATACACATCTTCCATGCATCAAAATGTTTATTTTGAAATACAAAAAAAATTGTTTCATTTCTTAATTTCCTTCCAGCCGATGAAAAAATGAAGAGACAAAAAATGTTTAGAAATAAATAGATATTTTGAAAAAAAACTTTTATTTTAAGAGAAGTCAGTGGAATACCACTTTTTTCCCCAAAAATATTCAATGTAAGTTCAAGTAAATAAAATTCTTTGTACACCAAAAAAGATATTTTGATGCATAGAAGACGTGTATCAATACAGTAGTATCATAAAGTTATCTATAATAAATATTAGCATGTCATCATTAAGGAACACCCTGTATATGCGTATCTAGAACTGTTTTCGAGAAAAAAATATATTGGTATTAGTTACCATTGGAAGGCCTCTAGACAGTATTAAATTATACATTTTGTAATATATAATTTAATAAGCATTAAAACACTTTGAAATTTTTTATTTCAATTAGCTAGAGTAACTAGAGTAAAAAGTTTTAAAATACTCGAATCTCGAACACACAGCAAATATTTACAGCAAATTTACAATAATTACAGCAAATCCAAAAAAAAATAGTGTTATTTAAGAAAATACAAAACATTATTTCTTTAAATTTTGATCGTCCTGTATCTTTAAAACTACGCACTGATTTGTTTTTCTTTTCCCACACTTTTTATTTATAATTTTCTCAGTAAAAAACTGTATACTTTTAATTTAAAATAACAGAAAGTATATACTTGATACAACAATATCCCCAATATAGTAATATAAAAACTTACATATTGTACTTAATAATAATTTAAAGTTCACCTTATGATCTTTTACCGTATACTGAATAAAACTGCGTACAAATTATAATTATATTCACATTAATTAGAATACAATACTTCTAAAATACCACCAAAGCACAGCAAATATTAGTTAAAATGTCCAAAGAAGCTAGTCCACATTTTTTTAACTGAGTTTAAGATTTGAAAATTGCACATAAAAGGATAAAAAATGCTGCAAAACTTAACTTAAAGGAAAAAATAATTACTTTATGTTTACTAAAATATTTGTTATAGCGTGTACCAGCGACTTCGTTCGCGTCGAATTAATGATTTGCAATGGTGATGATAAAGCAAAGCAAGAATTTCCATTAACATACAAACTGGATAAAATTTGCTCACATTTATGTCAGCATGAGAAAAAACAATATGGCGATATTATTATATAACTTGGTAATATTTGAGGGGTAGTTTCATCTCGTTGGAATTTGACTTTCGAAAAATCCGTTTGCCAAAAATAAGCTTTTTACGTCAAGCAGTTTAAGCAGAATCGTGTTCAAGTAATTACCCAACTTTTTGGAACACCCTGTATGATTTTTTAAGATATTTCAAAATATGTAAAAAAGCCAAATGAATTATGCTTGTCCAAGCGTTTTCCCGAAAGACTAACCGTTTTTTAAATAACAAATATTGTAATATTCGAGGGGCGTTTTTACCCTCTTGGAATTTGAGATTCGAGAAACCCCTCCTTATCGAACCTCTACACCCCACAGACAATCCGTTTGCCAAAAATCAGCTTTAAACGTCAAGCAGTTTAAGCCTCAATTAAGTTTTTAAGTTTAAATAAAATATACGTGTTTAAGCGTTTTTTCGGAAACTTGACCGTTTTTTAAATAAAAAATATTGTAATATTTTGGGGGTGGTTTTACCCTCTTGGAACTGGAATTTCGAAAAATCCCTTCTTATCGAACCTCTACACCCTAGAATCAACCTGTATGCCAAAATTGAGCTTCTTACGTTGAGTGGTTTGAGCAGGATCGTGATTAATCAGTATGTCAGTCACTGTAAAATATTTTGATTGAAAGAAAATATATAAAAGTAGGTAACGCTGTGCCGGCCAAGCTTAATCACGTGACAAAAAGCTTATTTGTTATGAACTGTATGTAAGATTTGCCTAAAGCTGAAAGGCAATTTTTTATAGATTCGTATAAATAACATATTTATATTTAGCCCTGTATATATAGATTATAGATATCTAATAACAAAAGTAACAAGTAATAAACATGCATTTTCAACATGAACTTTGACGCCCCTTTGTTTTTCCTATTTATCGCATATTGAATTCAAATAGAAATACACAATCCTTATATACAGGATGATTTGTGCCTATGAGAATGCACACTATACGGGGTGTCCCAGGCTGAGCGTGCAGTAGAAGTTTCTAGAGAATTACAAGATCAAGATTAAAAGTATTTTCAATATAGCGGCACTTCCGGAAATGCCGAAAGTTGACAGCAACTTTCTTATTTTAATCGGGTACCCCCATTTTTTTATTACATACTTAAATTCTCTGTAAAATTTTATGAATTTTGATATCAAACACTCTATATCTAACGTTAACCGTTTTTGAGAAAAAAAAATATTTAAAATTTAAAACTTTTAGAAGAAAAAAAATACCTGTCAAAAATTTGTATAGACTAAACGTCAAATTTAGTGATTACTCAGCTACTGTGACACAATGAAAAAACATGTGGCTATATATTTTTAAAATTTAATTGTTTGAATGTCATACGATATTGGCTGTAGCTGTCATGGAATTGAGAAATTAAAACATTATCCTGTCATTTTCTTCAAATGGAAACCCACTTTTTTTATTTCGCTAGTGAAAAGGTTTTTCAATTCGTTACTTTTTGATTATGCATGTTCCTATACCTAAAATAAATCGTTTTTAAATTATTTAAGATTTAGTTTTAAAGCCCAAATTTTTCTTGATTTTATCTAGCTTCCTTTGACATTAAGTGTCAAACTATCAAACAGTTTATAACTTTTGTTTCATTTATCTATGCAGTTTATTTCCTTCTGTTAAAAAAACTAATTTTTTGAATTTCGTATATTATACAGGGTTGTTCACCACATACGACACGAAGTATTGTAGCTAAACGATTAGATTTTTACAAATTTCAAGTTTTAGGTTCGATGAAGGACTATTAGAGGTACAATTTAAAAATAATTTACAAGATACAGAGTGTCCCAAATAAGTAAAAAATATCAAAGTTGTATTTTTTTAAATGGAACACCCTGTATATTATTACATTTTTAGTTTCTACGATTAAAATAAAGGTAAATTTGATTAAGGTTTATTATACTTAAACCTTACCGTTTTTGAAATATTTTCAATTTTGTGAAATTGCAGTAAAAGTTTTAAAGCTTCATTTCTCCAAGGGTATCAATGTTTTTAATACTAAATATTTAATGAAGTTTATTTATTGATCAGTTATTGTGTTGCAATAATAAAAAAATAATACTACCTTATACAGAGTGTCTAAAATTTATTTTAAATAATTTATAGCTTTAAACGCCAATAACTTGTTTAATTTAAATGGAACGCCCTGTATATTTTAGGAGAATCAGATGCACAATTTAATTGTCTATCAAATTGTATTATACCATTTTTACCTATCCCTTCAAGTTTTCCTAGAAAATGCATTTTCTTATAATTTAGACCTCATTCATCAATATATCCATGGAATATTGACATTTTATTATTGACACCCATGGAATATTGACATCATATATTGACATTCTAGTAATATTATTGTTTTGCTAAGAACAATAATGTTGTATGCAAAAAGAAAACTATTTAAATCTTTATAAAAGAGTATACCATTAATTAAATATAGCACCATTATTTCCGCCCATATACTAATTAATTACATACTTAATTGTATTCGTTAATAAATTATTCTAAATAAATGTGGAATTGAGTCAGAAATCAATATAATAATAAATTATCAAAATTAAAGTCTCTGTTGTTATAAATAAGCATTTATTAAAAAAATGAAATATCATTTTAAGGTGTTACTTTTATCACACTGTCTAATACCCGTACAAAATTCAGTTTTTTTAGTATTTGGAACAATTATTATTAATCAATGCAGTCAGTTAATGTAGTTTGAATACTGGAATCATATTAATTGGCCCTTTTTAACAAATAGTTAAACAGTTTTTTTTTTATTTTTTAATGAAATAAACGAATTATATCCACAATATTAGTATCTGTACTCTTTAAAAATTTGGTACATCTTTAAAAATAATCTAAAATGTCAATATTCCATGGGTATATTGATAAATAAATTCTAAATTACAAGAAAATGCATTTTCTACGGAAACGTAAAGAGATAGGTAAAAAATGGTATAATATAATTTGATAGACAATTAAATTGTGCATCTGATTCTCGTAAAATATACAGGGTGTTCCATTTAAATTAAACAAGTTATTGCCGTTTGAAGGTAATAATTATTTAAAATAAATTTTAGACACTCTGTATAAGGTAGTGTTATTTTATTATTGCAACACAATAACTGATCAATAAATAAACTTCAGTAAATATTTAGTATTAAAAACTTTGGTACCCTTGGAGAAATGAAGCCTTAAAATTTTTACGGCAATTTCACAAAATTGAAAATATTTCAAAAACGGTAAGGTTTAAGTATAATAAACCTTAATCAAATTTACCTTTATTTTAATCGTAGAAACTAAAAATGCAATAATATACAGGGTGTTCCATTTAAAAAAATACAACTTTGATATTTTTTACTTATTTGACATACTCTGTATCTTGTAAAATTATTTTTAAATTGTACCTCTAATAGTCCTTCATCGAACCCAAGACTTACAATTTGTAAAAATCTCATCGTTTAGCTACAATACTCCGTGTCGTATGTGGTGAACGACCCTGTATAAATACTGCTGCTAAAACTTTATACAGTGTATTTATAAAAATACCCATATATGATTTTTTGGAGAGATGATGAATTATAATAATATCTCAAGAAACAGTGACACAATAATACAATCTATCAATTTCATCAATTTGTCATTATTATTTGTCATTTTTATGCAAACGTCAACACTAAACGACACAATCCACATTTTTTATTATTTCCTTTTTTCTAAGAGCTGAGAAAATTGATCTATTTCTGATTACTCGTAATAATGGGTAAAAAAACCGCCAAAAAAGTTAAAAAAGAAGTGATAGTCGCAAATGCTGAACCCACATTAACAACAGCGTCCGAAGGAGACTTGAAAAAAGCCGAAGGTGTATTTTTCATTGTACATTTTCTGTTTATAATTATTTTAAAAACAATTCGATTTCTGTAGCAGAACCTGCTGAACCTGAGCTTAGCAAAAGCATCAACGAAACCCCTTCGGCAGTTGTAAAAAGCTCTAAAAAATCAGTTGAAGGAGTAAATATAAAGCGTCAAAGCCAAGGTGGAATATCGCAACACACAAAATCTATAGAGAAAATCGTTCCTCCGGACATCGAAACTACAAAAAGTAAAGAAGAACTCAAACCAAAGAAAAAGAAAAAAGGTATATATTTTCAATATCATAAAATATATCATATATGATATAATGTAAACTCGCATTTAGATAGCGTAGACGCGAAGAGAATAAGAGAATCGCGAGATATCAGAGTCAGTATCAGCGAAAAAAATGAGGAAAGAATTGAAGAAAATGAAGAAGTATCTGAAAAAGGGCCAGAAAAACCACCAAAAAAGTCTAAAAGTGGGAAAAAGGGTATAAAAAAATCAATATACGCTTTTATTTCTTACTGAATTAATTTTAAATCATTAATGCATAAATAACTATTAAAGAAGAGTATTTTTGACATGTTCATAGGAAAGAAGGAAAAGCAAGAGTCTGAAGACAAGGAGAAAATTGAAAAACCTAAAAAAGCCAAAGCACCAGCGAAACCAAAAGGAAAACTAATAGATAAAGCTACACAAAAGGATGTAGGTTCTTCATAAAGTCGTATTTTAATCATAATAATTCAGCAATTCAACAAAATATGTTACTACTTGAAAGTAATCATATTAGAACTTGAAAACAGAGTGCGTGGTAATTTTTAAGGGGGTGATTCTTGGACCAATTCTAAGAAAAAAAAACATTATGAATTTTTAAGATGCAGGGTGGTATACATATATATCTTTATGAATCTTTGACGAATGCAGATTCTGTGGGGAAAATGGGGGCACACAATAGATCTATAAATTGTTTTTTTTTTAGAAAATTTTACCTCTTTGTATCTCAAACGTTAAAATGTTTAGGACATACGTTCCTATGAAGTTTTTTACTTAGAACAAGTCTAAGAATCAGCTCCTTAAAGTACACCCTGTATATGCGTGCCTATATTAAAGAAAAATGAAGAAATGGCCGTTCCGGCCGCCGAATCGTCCGGACAAATTGTCAGGGCAGAGTCTCAAACCATCAATTCAGAAAAAAAACAACGGTCCAGAGTTTCCATAGCGAAAGAAGCCATTAAATCGGAAGACACTATCTCAAAAAAGCGGAAGAAACAACCCAAAGAAGGTCCGAGGTAAACAACCATATGTAAAAATGTAAACTTTCAAAAACAAAGTTTACTTTAAAGAATGTAATTTCTAGTGCATCAGATATCACGAAAAAGTCAACTTCTAATACAAGCCAGCAAAGGACGTCATTTTTTATGTAAGTAAAATAATTATTTCTATCATCTACAGTTTCTTTTAATATTCTACATATTTATACTGTTACGTTTTTCGTCGGTTCCGTGTGGATAGAGAGTCACAATTTATTTAAACACTATTTATTTAACACTAATTAACAAAAACAATAACGATAAAAGACTTATAGAACTATTTACAAACGATTTATAACTAAGAATGTATTTTGAATTTTAGCGCGTCAACTGCACTCGTCTATTTATAACTGCCCTCTCTAGGCCACAGCCGCTGGCTTTTATACCTACAGTTAAAGTTTACTAGAATAGTCCATAGATCGTTAGGTGCATAGAGCAGGTTTCGAATGTTCTCGTATGTACTACTCCATTCCAGTCGGATTCGATTCTTCTCGAATCTTCGAATGAATCATTACGGTGTCTATTCTTTAATGCGATGTTAAGGTCATCCGAGGGCGGGCCATACAGTTAGGTTAGGTCGAGTCCACACCGGTCCGCAACAATACCAACATTGGTTCCTAGAATTTTCTCAAAAAGCGTAATATGAAACTTAAAAATGTATAGGCAGGGTTTTAATGGTCTTAAAATCGTCGTTTTCATTATGGTCGATGATCTAGGGTCTTCAAAAGTGATGCTGAAGAGTCTAGTAGTGAAGAGTCGGAGGAGTTATTAGGAGAAGGAGAGCAGATTGAAAAAAAGAAGAAATCAAAAAAGGTTTGAACGGATTTCATTTCATCTAATAAAAACTCTAAAAGTAATCTGCGTTTGAATTGAAGACCAAAGTAGAAGACGATGAAAAGAAAGCGAAGAAAGAAAAGAAGAAAAAAGAGAAAGAAGAAAAAAAGGAAAAGGCTAAAGAGAAAAAAGAACCGAAAAAAGTCGAAATAAAGAAAGGTACAAAAAATGAAAAAAAAAAAGAAATAGAAAAACAACCGGTCAACCTTATTCTAGATCCAGTTAAAACGGCGGAAGCCGAATACCAGGCCATGAGAAAAAAGATGGACGAACTGAAAAAAATTGCCATGGAAACAGGTGACAGTATCTTAACGTTAAGTAAAAGAATTTTCGCTAAAGTTCTGTGAGATGTCTCTCTCTAGGTATACTAGAAGAAAAAGCTCACGTGGAAGAGGTAACTAAGACTATAATACTCTTAAACTAAACATTATTTTCCGAATTGACAGGAAGTACAGATTATACAGGAAGTAATAGGACCGAAATCTCTGTTCATATTATCTTTTTTATTAACTTGAGACACGTTTGCTCAATTTTAAATTATTATTTAACATTTACATACATTAATTTATTAAAATTTAAATACATTAAAATATGCTCTACTCTTTACTAAATATGTATATAAATTGAGCCATAGCCAAATAGCCATATATGCCCTTTCAATCTAGTTATTATTGATCCTGTAGTTTGCTCAACATCGGAAAACTTAAAATAAATTTTACTCAAAGAGTGTCTTCGTTGGTTTCAGGGTCCGAAAAAGAAAATGTCCAAGAAGGAGAAAGCAAGGCAGACAGCTGAAATGGCCGAAAAGGCCAGACAAGAGATGGAGGCTCAAATGAAAAGGTATTTATCATCAAATCGTATAAGTACAATGGGGTATTTTAGTGCCAGTGAATCTTTTGTTGAAATAGATCAAATGTTTTGTTTTTTGGTAGTCATTTAGAATAACAGTTATTTGAACAAATAACAGTTAACTATAATACTTATATACGTATTATAACTAATACTGTTATTAGAAAAAATAACAGTTACTACTGTTATTAGAAAAAATAACAGTTGCTACTGTTATTAGTAAAAATAACAGTTTCTACTGCTACTAGAAAAAATAACAGTCGCTACTGTTATTAGAAAAAATTAACAGTTACTACTCTTATTAGAGAAAATAACAGTTACTATTGTTATTAGAAAAAATAACAGTTACTACTGTTATTAGAAAAAATAACAGTTGCTAGTGTTATTAGAAAAAATAACAGTTACTACTGTTATTAGAAGAAATAACAGTTCCTACTGTTATTAGAAAAAATAACAGTTGCTACTGCTCCTAGAAAAAATAACAGTTGCTGCTGTTATTAGAAAAAATAACAGTCGCTACTGTTATTAGAAAAAATTAACAGTTACTACTGTTATTAGAGAAAATAACAGTTACTATTGTTATTAGAAAAAAATAACAGTTACAACTGTTATTAGAAAAAATAACAGTTACAACTGTTATTTAGAAGTAACAGTTTAGTTGTTATTTAGAAGTAACAGTTTAGTTGTTTTATGATATTCTATGCTATTTAACGACATTTTAAGTTATTGTTACTTTAAATAGACACCTAAAACTAAAATTTAGGCGTATTTGAATGACGTATGTAGGTTGGAAGAAATGGTAAAGAAGAAAGCGGAAGAGGATCGACTGGCGGCCATCGAAAATGAGAGAAAAGATGCGGTGGAACACGCTCTGAGACTGGAACAGTTGCGGGACTCGTTCAATTTGATTCAAGACATATCTGATTACGCTGCTCAGAAAATCCAAGAAGAAAATGAACAACTCGAGGTAAAAACTGATTTATTTTTGTAGTTTTCTTTTTTCTTTAAGTCCTCCTACAAAAAAAACGTGTTTTTTTAGTGGAAAAAGTATCTGGCGTGTGAAAAGCTACCGAATGCCGCGATGTGTGATCAAATGAACACTTATCTGCATCTCTGGGATCAAGAATTGGAAGTAACCACCGTAGACCTCGCCTCGCAAAGAACACAAGATGTCTTAACCGTAAGCTACTAACTTTAACAGTTTATTTTGTACAAAAATTTTATTCTTTAGCTACTACGAACCTTGGAAGAATTGATCGATACAGGAAGCAACGAAGACAATAGCAAGCTCGAAAACTGGATATGGGTAATTGTTCAACAATATAATCTATATTTTTCAACATTACTATTTTCCTTTAGATCCGGCAACTCTTCAGGGAGTACCAAACGGCCAGCTTGGACGTTGCCACGTACAAGCTGTTGCGCAACGTCGAACATAACCTCAACAGAATCAACATTCCCACCGCCGATTTCAGTTTCAAGGACGATTTCGTCACGCTCTGTATATGGTTGAGGGTGATGCTGCCCATTCCGTTACCGAACCCAAGGAGACCACCTAAGTAATAGTTCAATTTAAGTCGAGTTCATTATTTTTTTTTGTTTTAAAAATGTACTAAATATAGTACAATTTTTTTAGGTAATCACATCCCTTGAACCCGCTATTTTTTTGTTTTAGAAATGTACTAAATATAGTTTAAAAATTATGCTTTTTAGGCCTCGAATTGATGTTAATTTTGAATTAATGGAAACAAGTATTCTATTTCCTGCCGCAATCGATTGTGAAAATGCAGCTATAAGAGCAATGTACCTTAAATACGATCACATGAGCGATCTGAGCGAAACCTTTCATATGCCGGACGTACCAAAGGAATATAATATGGGTGGGCCTATTCACAACTATCACGTGATTGGAAATCTTAAAATATCAAGCTTCTTACCTATTTCTTGCTCGTAGACTTATTGGAAGCTTCAAAGTACGAATGGAGAGTAAACTTGAAGTACAAATACGCCAACAGGGATAAGAAAAAACCTCAACCGGTCGTACAAGAAGCTACGACAGATCAGGATGATAATTTAGGTCAAAAACAGACTACCGAAAGTCCCGAAGGAAAAACTGCAGATACGGAGCCAGTGATAGGTACTATTTAAAAAACGATATGAAATAAAGTAGTACCATTTTTGACTAAAATTGTTTTTAATTCTTAAAGAACCACCAACTGAACCTGAAGATTTCAATTCCGACGAGGAAATCCCGATGGTACCGTTCAAACAATTGAAACCCACTCCCAGTCAGCATGTAATAATGCTGGAAGGTACGTATTTCTTCTCATTTGCGGTAAATTTCACAAACAAAAAATGTACTAAACATCGTACGAAATATTAGGTAATCACAGCCCTCGTGTAATTTTTATGTATGTTTGTAGTCCTCATACTATGTATTTGTAGTAAACATCGTACAAAAATTTTAGGCAGTAAAATCCCTTTAACAAAGGATGTTATTACCTAAAATTTTTGTACGATTTTTCTTTTCTAGATAATCTATATATGGAGACTAGAGAAAAACTACAATATAACCTACCGGAAGACGACATAAATTTAAGAGAATTCGTTATACTGGGAGGCGTCTATCATTTCAATTTACTAGCACAGCCACCGCAACCTCAAGATTTTATTACTATGGAGATGACAATAACAGGCTGTAGGTGTATATTTTTGTTTATTCTTTTAAGTATATATTATTTTTATCTACCCTTTCGAGGGCTGTAACTTCGTCGAGAAGCTTTTTTATTTATTTTTATCTGTAAAATCATACCCACTATTTTTTACATAATCAGTACTTTCTTTTCTAGTATACCTACCGAAGAAACTTGAAGTACTACCGTTTAAGGTGGTTTACGTACCCTATGTCCCACCCGCTGAACCTGAGCCCACGCCTGTACAATCACTCACTCGCAGCCTTAGTATGAGCCTTCGAAAAATGCCGGAAGAAGTTGAAGACGAAACTAAGAAACAAGAAGAAGCCTTAGACAAACTGATCGCCGTTAATATCAAGTAGGATTAGCCAATTCCTGGCTCATTAGTCTATCTCACTAAATAATATGCTTTTCTTTATTGAAACACTCTAGAATAGAGCCAGGATTAACCAATTCTTGGCTCTATTCTATAGAGTTATTAGTCTATCTCACTAAATGTTCTTTTCTTTATTGAAAACTCTAAAATAGAGCCAGGATTAACAAATTCCTGGCTCTATTCTAGAGTTATTAGTCTATCTCACTAAATATTCTTTTCTTTATTGAAAAACTCTAGAATAGAGCCAGGATTAACCAATTCCTGGCTCTATTCTAGAGTTATTAATCTATCTCACTAAATATTCTTTTCTTTATTGAAAAACTCTAGAATAGAGCCAGGATTAACCAATTCTAATAAACTAGAGTTATTATTCTATCACACTAAATATTCTTTTCTTAATTGAAAAATTTTAGTCAGGATTAACCAATTCCTGGCTCTATTCTAGAGTTATTAGTCTATCTCACTAAATATTCTTTTCTTTATTGAAAAACTCTAGAATAGAGCCAGGATTAACCAATTCCTGGCTCTATTCTAGAGTTATTAATCTATCTCACTAAATGTTCTTTTCTTTATTGAAAAACTCTAAAATAGAGCCAGGATTAACAAATTCCTGGCTCTATTCTAGAGTTATTAGTCTATCTCACTAAATGTTCTTTTCTTTATTGAAAAACTCTAGAATAGAGCCAGGATTAACCAATTCCTGGCTCTATTCTAGAGTTATTAATCTATCTCACTAAATATTCTTTTCTTTATTGAAAAACTCTAGAATAGAGCCAGGATTAACCAATTCTAATAAACTTGAGTTATTATTCTATCACACTAAATATTCTTTTCTTAATTGAAAAATTTTAGTCAGGATTAACCAATTCCTGGCTCTATTCTAGAGTTATTAGTCTATCTCACTAAATATTCTTTTCTTTATTGAAAAACTCTAGAATAGAGCCAGGATTAACCAATTCCTGGCTCTATTCTAGAGTTATTAATCTATCTCACTAAATGTTCTTTTCTTTATTGAAAAACTAAAATAGAGCCAGGATTAATAAATTCCTGGCTCTATTCTAGAGTTATTAGTCTATCTCACTAAATATTCTTTTCTTTATTGAAAAACTCTAGAATAGAGCCAGGATTAACCAATTCCTGGCTCTATTCTAGAGTTATCAATCTATCTCACTAAATATTCTTTTCTTTATTGAAAAACTCTAGAATAGAGCCAGGATTAACCAATTCTAATAAACTAGAGTTATTATTCTATCACACTAAATATTCTTTTCTTAATTGAAAAATTTTAGTCAGGATTAACCAATTCCTGGCTCTATTCTAGAGTTATCAGTCTAGCTCACTAAATATTCTTTTCTTTATTGAAACGTTCGATAAGATGGCCGCAGCACGTGATTTTTCTGGAACTGCCGGTGGTGTGTAGGTGGGACGAAGAGAAGAAACTCTGGTCCAAGGAGGAGATTTTAGATGTTAGACACAACGAAGAGAAATGTATCATCAGTTTCCGTACTGGAGTATTTGGAATTTACGGTCTGGCCACCTACAGATATGCCAATTTGCCGTTCCAGGCCTACGACATTAAACCCGAAGAAGAGTTAGAATTTTTAAAATTTATTTTACCGATTTTTTAATATATTATATTTTTTAGTGGATCAGTTACTGTACAGTTAACAGCAGCGATACTGATGCTGGAATTTAACATAAAAAACGGACTGATCTGCATTTCTCAGTTACAAAACAGTCCGAATATGACGTTACAGGACGTAGTTGGGACATATTATAAGCTAAATATTCTTAAAAGGGTGTGAAATACAGAAAGAAAGAAATCTAGCGTGTCCTGTGATAGGCTTGGACTAATCTTTATCAGCATATTATAAAGAGATACTTTCATATTAAAAATGTACTAGATATCGTACAAAAATTTTCGGTAATCACATCCCTTGGACCTATCTGTTATAAAAAATAAAGCTTCTTTAACAAAAAAAAAATTACGGTTATTTTTATAAATGAATGATGATGCTATATCAAAAAATGCTGCAATAAGGTTAGGTCCATCAAATTCAGGATACCCTCTATACATAATTAACGCCACAGATTTAATAACTTGTTTTTTAGTTAATGAAGGAATCTGGCATCGATATATTTCCAGCTTTTGATGCATTCTGTTACGTAAAAGGTAAACAATTAATTTTGACTTAAAATTAAGAACTGAATTAATTAAAAATACAGTAGGTAGTACAATAAATTAATTGTGTTTAAAGCTAGAACACAATTATTTAAAAATATACACGTTAACGCAATTAATTAATTAATTATGTTATGTGTGTTTTTCTATTACCTAAGCGGAAAACATAATTAATTCAGAGCTAAAGCTAGAACACGATTAATTAAAATTACAGTAGGTAATACAATAAATTAATTCCGTTTAAAGCTAGAATACAATTAATTAAAAATATACATTTGTACGCAATTAATTAATGAATTGTGTTATGTGTGTTTTCCTATTACCTAAGCGGAAAACATAATTAATTCAGAGCTAAAGCTAGAACACGACTAATTAAAATTACAGTAGGTAATACAATAAATTAATTGCGTTTAAAGCTAGAATAAAATTAATTAAAAATATACACGTGTACGCAATTAATTAATTAATTGTGTTATGTGTGTTTTTCTGTTACCTAAGCGGAAAACATAATTAATTCAGAGTTAAAGCTAGAACACGATTAATTAAAAATACAGTAGGTAATATAATAAATTAATTATGTTAAGGTGTTTTTTTATGTAATTTTAGGCACGAGCGAAAAACAGTGGCCTATGGAGAAACATTTGTATTATAATATCGCCCAAATTTCAAATTCTTTCAATTTTTCCTGGTCAAGGTGGAACGTGCAAGCTGGCCGAAGAAAAATCGTGTTGCAAATGAGGCAGTACCTACCCGATAAAGGAAAACAGGTGGGTACAACAGAGCATCCAATATTCAAGAGTTGCAAAAATGGTACAGATAGATATTATCAATGATCATTTTATTTTAGAAAAACCATCAAATGCTTCTGGTAACACCTTTAAAAGCCACTTTTATCGATTGTACCGAAGTTAGTCAGGTATTCTCTGAAAAAGAAGTGGAATCGTTAAAAGTATATGCCATTGTTGTAAACAAATATTAATGTTAATAATATTTTGTTTGTTTTTAGTTTTGTGCCGATTTGTATCATCTGATGAAGACAACCAGCGGTATTTTCATAAGAAACAAGGTAACAAAGGCTTCCAAAGACAGCGTTTGTACGCTCGCACAGTTTCTGATATCGACAAGAATATTCAGTTTTTCATAATTATACAAAGAAATAATATGAATATATCATCACTACATGCCAAAATGTCTTTTATTGTTACGCACTACTATACTAAAAATGTACTAAATGTCGTACAAAAACATTAGGTAATCACATCCCTTGGGTTAACTCTTTATTAAACTATAACAAAATGTGTCATATTAAAAATGTACTAAGTATCGTACAAAAATTTCAGGTAATCACATCCCTACTCTTGTTTAATGTAAATAAAACAACGGGTAATAATAGCAATTTCTGTGTGACTAAGTCAATATTAAAGCTTCCTATTTATTTAGTTAATAAATCCAGAAAAAAGGTAAAATTTAACAATATTACGTATAAACTATATTATATTTAGACTATTTTGTAACGTCTAAGCCGTCGAAGTGTTTGTTGCTAGTTAAAAATAGTTCGGTTCGCATACTGTTCGTTCATTGATTCAAAAAAGAACATGCTTGTATGGCACACACACACAAAAAAATCCCTTTATCCATAATTTAATAGAAAAATCATTAAAATATGTTTAAATCCGTATAAGCTGGCAACGAGGCAGCGTAATCACCTTTCTCACATGTTAGAACAGTGCCATGTTGCCACAGTTTTTCAGTAGTTACCAGGCATGGAATATACAATAAATGTAATATATTTATGGTCTAGTTTTAACCTTGTTTTCAAGCTAAAAACCAATGCGAGTCTTAACACCGTTGAAAAAAATATTAATAAAAATATAATATAATCCAAACTATACTTGTCGTATGCAGAGTTTTATATTCTATCAGAATATGTCTTAGTTTGTACTAAAATGTTAATAGTTTTGAGGGAGAGCCCGGGAGAGACAGGGATAGTTCGACTTATTTTGTTTCAAAATTAAAAAAACAATAGGTCTTTTTATAACATTGAAAAAAATATTAATAAAAATCAAATACAACCCAAGCTGTACTTGTCGTATGCAGAATTTTATATTCTATCAGAATATGTCCTAGTTTGAGCTAAAATGTTAATAGTTTTGAGGGAGAGCCCGGGAGAGACAGAGGGTTTTCCACTTAATTTGTTTTAAAGCTGAAAAAACTATGCGAGTTTTAACACCGTTGAAAAAAATATTAATAAAAATATAATTTAATCTAAACTACACTTGTCGTATGCAGAATTTTATATTCTATCAGAATATGTCCTAGTTTGAGCTAAAATGTTAATAGTTTTGAGGGAGAGCCCGGGAGAGACAGGGATAGTTCGACTTATTTTGTTTCAACATTAAAAAAACAATAGGTCTTTTTATAACATTGAAAAAAATATTAATAAAAATCAAATACAACCCAAGCTGTACTTGTCGTATGCAGAATTTTATATTCTATCAGAATATATCCTAGTTTGAGCTAAAATGTTAATAGTTTTGAGGGAGAGCCCGGGAGAGACAGAGGGTGTTCCACTTAATTTGTTTTAAAGCTGAAAAAACAATGCGAGTGTTAACACCGTTGAAAAAAATATTAATAAAAATATAATTTAAACTAAACTATACTTGTCGTATGCAGAATTTTATATTCTATCAGAATATATCCTAGTTTGAGCTAAAATGTTAATAGTTTTGAGGGAGAGCCCGGGAGAGACAGAGGGTGTTCCACTTAATTTGTTTTAAAGCTGAAAAAACAATGCGAGTCTTAACACCGTTGAAAAAAATATTAATAAAAATATAATTTAAACTAAACTATACTTGTCGTATGCAGAATTTTATATTCTATCAGAATATGTCCTAGTTTGAGCTAAAATGTTAATAGTTTTGAGGGAGAGCCCGGGAGAGACAGAGGGTGTTCCACTTAATTTGTTTTAAAGCTGAAAAAACAATGCGAGTGTTAACACCGTTGAAAAAAATATTAATAAAAATATAATATAATCTAAACTATACTTGTCGTATGCAGAATTTTATACTCTATCAGAATATGTTCTAGTTTGAGTGAAATGTTAATAGTTTTGAGGGAGAGCCCGGGAGAGACAGAGGGTGTTCCACTTAATTTGTTTTAAAGCTGAAAAAACAATGCGAGTCTTAACACCGTTGAAAAAAATATTAATAAAAATATAATTTAATCTAAACTACACTTGTCCTATGTAGAATTTTATATTCTATCAGAATATGTCCTAGTTTGAGCTAAACTGTTAATAGTTTTGAGGGAGAGCCTGGGAGAGACTGGGGTAGTTCCACTTATTTTCTTTCAAAACTGAAAAAACAATACGTGTTTTTATACCGTTGAAAAAAACTATTAATAAAAATATAATATAACCCAAACTATACTTGTCGTATGCAGAAGTTTATATTCTATCAGAATATGTCTTAGTTTGAACTAAAATGTTAATAGTTTTGAGGGAGAGCCCGGGAGAGACAGGGATAGTTTGACTTATTTTGTTTCAAAATTGAAAAAACAATAGGTCTCTTTATAACATTGAAAAAAATATTAATAAAAATCTAATACAACCCAAGCTGTACTTGTCGTATGCAGAATTTTATATTCTATTAGAATATGTCCTAGTTTGAGCTAAAATGTTAATAGTTTTGAGGGAGAGACAGAGGGAGTTCCACTTAATTTGTTTTCAAGCTAAAAAACAATGCGAGTCTTAACACCGTTGAAAAAAATATTAATAAAAATCTAATACAACCCAAGCTGTACTTGTCGTATGCAGAATTTTATATTCTATCAGAATATGTCCTAGTTTGAGCTAAAATGTTAATAGTTTTGAGGGAGAGCCCGGGAGAGACAGAGGGTGTTCCACTTAATTTGTTTTAAAGCTGAAAAAACTATGCGAGTCTTAACACCGTTGAAAACAATATTAATAAAAATATAATTTAATCTAAACTACACTTGTCGTATGCAGAATTTTATATTCTATCAGAATATGTCCTAGTTTGAGCTAAAATGTTAATAGTTTTGAGGGAGAGCCCGGGAGAGACAGGGGTGTTCCACTTAATTTGTTTTAAAGCTGAAAAAACAATACGAGTCTTAACACCGTTGAAAAAAATATTAATAAAAATATAATATAATCTAAACTATACTTGTCGTATGCAGAATTTTATACTCTATAAGAATATGTTCTAGTTTGAGTGAAATGTTAATAGTTTTGAGGGAGAGCCCGGGAGAGACTGGGGTAGTTCCACTTATTTTGTTTCAAAACTGAAAAAATAATACGTGTTTTTATACCGTTGAAATAAACTATTAATAAAAATCTAATAGAACCCAATCTGTACTTGTCGAATGCAGAATTTTATATACTATCAGAATATGTCTCAGATTGACCCAAAATATTAACAGTTTTGAGGGAGAGCCAGGAAAAGACAACCTAAATTCCTGGAATCTTGTCCAATACCGGTCCAAATCAACCAGAATTTTACGGAGGAGATAAAATATAGAATTCCGGGTTTCTGCTAACTAGCGTAACCAGTGGCAACGTCGTCTTGTCCCGCCGTTACGCGCACAGTCAACTACGCACCACCAGACCTGGACACGCGGTGTTTCCCTTCCCCCCTCACTGGTACGAGCCACGCCAAATGTTGATCGCTCGGCCAGTCGTCAGTTTCAGCCCATTTTCCGTCGAGGAAATAGCAGTTTTGCTGGGGGCTTGAACACCACAAAAATTGCTGACCTTTTCGGTTGAAAAAACATCGTCCGAAACTGACCAGAACAAAAAAAAACGTCGCTTAAAAAAAAAGAAATTCGCAGCTAACGGTAAATCGGCAACATTCGTGAGTCAAGTAATCGCGTTTCATTCATTGGTCGATACAGCCACGCACACGTGACGGTTTTTTTTAATTAGAAAGTCACCTTAATCTTACTGCATCAAAAAAAAACGGAAAAAATCGGGGTTTAAAAAGATTTTCGTCCTTTTGGAGTCATTGAAACTGTGGTGAAAGTGCCCCGCCCCCTCAGGTGGTTCCAGGTGAGTACTACCTCAACCCAATTGCGTTTAAAATAAAATTGAACGGTACTGGACGTGATAGGAACAAGGAAAAAAGGGTGTAGTTTCTGTAAGAGGCATTGCCCGGGTGATATCTGGCATGTGACGTAGCATGTGCTTTGATCTGATTGGCCCGCTACCTTCGGGTCTTACATTTTTACCATTGTGCTGTTTTCTTTTAGATTTTCCCTTGCAAAATTTTTTTCCACGAAAAACGGGCCCTTTAAACCCTTTCAATCCGCAGCTTTGCGATTTTTTCAAGGAAAAATCAGCAAATTCAAAGAAAATTGTTATGTATTGTTTGCAACGTGTCCGTATTATTGACGACGTGATGCGCGATGTTGCCGGATTTGCGCGCTGGGTTTGCCACTCCTTTATCAATGATCGCGGCTGGCTAGACCACTTGTTATGCTGTATTATTTTTCGTAAATGTATTTTTTTTGTTTTCTCTGGCTTACAAGTTTAATTCAAGAATTTTGAAACGGTTTTGTAATGGGGAAACGTTGTAGCTTTACGTTGAAATGGTTTTTTGGGCAATTCGTTGCTTTGTTTTGGGGGAAAAACACACTTTCATTCAAGTTTCTTTGTTCTCAGGACACGTATTATGCTGTGAACCTACTTTGAATGAAATTTGGATGAAAAAAATTTGCAAGTATTTGAGAAAGAGTAATACGTGTTTTGATTATATTCTGTGTAAAAACAATTTAATAACAATTATTATAATTTTTAGTTTCCATATCTGTTTAATTTTTATTATGGAATTTAAATTGTATTGGTTTTTGTAAAAGTAATAAACAAATTCTAGAAAATTTGTTTTAAAAAGTAAAATAAAATATTCAAATGATGATGGTTTACCATCAGCTGAATATGACTAATAACTTCTCCAAGATTATTATTTATCAACCATGAACTTAGACGCCTAGTGAATATAGGTGCTTATTTGTTTATTACTACATTAACACCATTTCTTGTATATATATTTTAAAATCAAAAATATAAATTAATTTAGAATTATCTAGGTCTAAAGAATTTTTTAAAAATAAAACTTTTAAAAATAAAATATTCTGGTTGTTTTTTTCTGTAGGATTGTTTGTCGTGCTTTTGCGAGTAAAGGTCTGAAAAAGCTCAAACTATGCTTGTCGTGTGTAGAAATGTATATTCTCTTAGAATATGTCTTATTTTAAGATTAAATGTTGATAATTTTGAGGGAGAGCCCGGGAGAGACTGGGGTAGTTCCGCCTAATTTGTTTTAAAGCTGAAAAAACAATGCGAGTTTTAACACCGTTGAAAAAAATATTAATAAAAATATAATTTAATCTAAACTACACTTGCCGTATGCAGAATTTTATATTCTATCAGAATATGTCCTAGTTTGAGCTAAAATGTTAATAGTTTTGAGGGAGAGCCCGGGAGAGACAGCAGTAGTTCCATTTAATTTGTCTTAAAGCTGAAAAAACAATACGAGTCTTTTATCTTGAAAACAATATTAATAAAAAATTAATATAATGCATCAAAACTATACTTATCGTATACAGAATTTTATATTCTATCAATTCCGCCTAATTTGTTTTAAAGCTGAAAAAACAATGCGAGTTTTAACACCGTTGAAAAAAATATTAATAAAAATATAATTTAATCTAAACTACACTTGCCGTATGCAGAATTTTATATTCTATCAGAATATGTCCTAGTTTGAGCTAAAATGTTAATAGTTTTGAGGGAGAGCCCGGGAGAGACAGCAGTAGTTCCATTTATTTTGTCTTAAAGCTGAAAAAACAATACTAGTCTTTATACCGTTGAAAACAATATTAATAAAATTCTTAATGCATCAAAACTATACTTATTGTATACAGAATTTTATATTCTATCAAATATGTCTTAGTTTGAGCTGAAATGTTAATAGTTTTGAGGGAGAGACAGCGGTAGTTCCATTTATTTTGTCTGAAAGCTGAAAAACCAGTAAGAGTTTTTATACACTTGAAAACAATATTAATAAAAGCCTAAGAGAATCTAAATTATATTTGTCGTATGCAGAATTTCATATTCTATCAGAATATGTTTTAGTTTGTCCTAAAATAGTAACAGTTTTGAGGGAGAGCCAGGGAGAGACAGCGGGAGTTTCAATTATTTTGTATTAAATCTGAAAAAAAACAATGCTAGACTTTATACCGTTGAAAACGATATTAATAACATTATTAAAGCATCAAAACTATACTTGTCGTATACAGAATTTTATATTCTATTAGAATATGTCTTGGTTTAAGATTAAACATTAATATTTTTGATGGAAAGCTAGGGAGAGACAGGGGTTGTTCCACTTATTTGTCTTAAAGCTGAAAAAACAGTTTTGAGTTTTATACCGTTGAAAACAATATTAATAAAAGGCTAATAGAGTCTAAATTATACTTGTCGTATGCAGAATTTCATATTCTATCAGGATATGTCCTAGTTTGTCCCAAAATATTAACAGTTTTGAAGGAGAGCCAGGGAGAGACAGCGGGTGTTCCAATTATTTTGTATTAAATCTGAAAAAACAATGCTAGTCTTTATACCGTTGAAAACAATATTAATAACATTATTAAGGTATGAAAAAAATACTTGTCGTATGCAGAATTTCATATTCTATTAGAATATGTCTTAGTTTAAGATGAAACATTAATATTTTTGAGGGAAAGCTAGGGAGAGACAGGGGTTGTTCTACTTATTTTGTCTTAAAGCCGAAAAAACAGTTTTGAGTTTTATACCGTTGAAAACAATATTAATAAAAGGCTAATAGAGTCTAAATTATACTTGTCGTATGCAGAATTTCATATTCTATCAGGATATGTCCTAGTTTGTCCCAAAATATTAACAGTTTTGAAGGAGAGCCAGGGAGAGACAGCGGGAGTTCCAATTATTTTGTATTAAATCTGAAAAAACAATGCTAGTCTTTATACCGTTGAAAACAATATTAATAACATTATGAAGGTATCAAAACTATACTTGTCGTATACAGAATTTTATATTCTATCAGAATATGTCTTTGTTTGAGCTGAAATTTTTATAGTTTTGAGGGAGAGCCCGGGAGAGACAGCGGTAGTTCCATTTATTTTGTCTGAAAGCTGAAAAACCAGTAAGAGTTATACACTTGAAAACAATATTAATAAAAGCCTAAGTGAATCTAAATTATACTTGTCGTATGCAGAATATCATATTCTATCAGGATATGTCCTAGTTTGTCCCAAAATATTAACAGTTTTGAGGGAGAGCCAGGGAGAGACAGCGGGAGTTCCAATTATTTTGTATTAAATATGAAAAACAATGTTAGACTTTATACCGTTGAAAACAATATTAATAACATTATGAAGGTATCAAAACTATAGTTGTCGTATACAGAATTTTATATTCTATCAGAATATGTCTTTGTTTGAGCTGAAATTTTTATAGTTTTGAGGGAGAGCCCGGGAGAGACAGCGGTAGTTCCATTTATTTTGTCTGAAAGCTGAAAAACCAGTAAGAGTTATACACTTGAAAACAATATTAATAAAAGCCTAAGTGAATCTAAATTATACTTGTCGTATGCAGAATATCATATTCTATCAGGATATGTCCTAGTTTGTCCCAAAATATTAACAGTTTTGAGGGAGAGCCAGGGAGAGACAGCGGGAGTTCCAATTATTTTGTATTAAATATGAAAAAACAATGTTAGACTTTATACCGTTGAAAACAATATTAATAACATTATGAAGGTATCAAAACTATAGTTGTCGTATACAGAATTTTATATTCTATCAGAATATGTCTTTGTTTGAGCTGAAATTTTTATAGTTTTGAGGGAGAGCCCGGGAGAGACAGCGGTAGTTCCATTTATTTTGTCTGAAAGCTGAAAAACCAGTAAGAGTTTTTATACACTTGAAAACAATATTAATAAAAGCCTAAGCGAATCTAAATTATACTTGTCGTATGCAGAATTTCATATTCTATCAGGATATGTCCTAGTTTGTCCCCAAAATATTAACAGTTTTGAGGGAGAGCCAGGGAGAGACAGCAGGAGTTCCAATTATTTTGTATTAAATATGAAAAACAATGTTAGACTTTATACCGTTGAAAACAATATTAATAACATTATGAAGGTATCAAAACTATACTTGTCGTATACAGAATTTTATATTCTATCAGAATATGTCTTTGTTTGAGCTGAAATTTTCATAGTTTTGAGGGAGAGCCGGGAGAGACAGCGGTAGTTCCATTTATTTTGTCTGAAAGCTGAAAAACCAGTAAGAGTTTTTATACACTTGAAAACAATATTAATAAAAGCCTAAGCGAATCTAAATTATACTTGTCGTATGCAGAATTTCATATTCTATCAGGATATGTCCTAGTTTGTCCCAAAATATTAACAGTTTTGAGGGAGAGCCAGGGAGAGACAGCGGGAGTTCCAATTATTTTGTATTAAATATGAAAAAACAATGCTAGACTTTATACCGTTGAAAACAATATTAATAACATTATGAAGGTATCAAAACTATACTTGTCGTATACAGAATTTTATATTCTATCAGAATATGTCTTTGTTTGAGCTGAAATTTTCATAGTTTTGAGGGAGAGCCCGGGAGAGACAGCGGTAGTTCCATTTATTTTGTCTGAAAGCTGAAAAACCAGTAAGAGTTTTTATACACTTGAAAACAATATTAATAAAAGCCTAAGCGAATCTAAATTATACTTGTCGTATGCAGAATTTCATATTCTATCAGGATATGTCCTAGTTTGTCCCAAAATATTAACAGTTTTGAGGGAGAGCCAGGGAGAGACAGCGGGAGTTCCAATTATTTTGTATTAAATATGAAAAAACAATGCTAGACTTTATACCGTTGAAAACAATATTAATAACATTATGAAGGTATCAAAACTATACTTGTCGTATACAGAATTTTATATTCTATCAGAATATGTCTTTATTTGAGCTGAAATTTTCATAGTTTTGAGGGAGAGCCCGGGAGAGACAGCGGTAGTTCCATTTATTTTGTCTGAAAGCTGAAAACCCAGTAAGAGTTTTTATACACTTGAAAACAATATTAATAAAAGCCTAAGCGAATCTAAATTATACTTGTCCTATGCAAAATTTCATATTCTATCAGAATATGTCCTAGTTCGAGCTGAGGTGTTGGTAGTTTTAGGGGAATCCCACGAAGAGACAAATATATATTTCCTGGGATATTTTCCAAAGCTGGTCGAAGGCAATACGAGATTTTATTTAGCGTTAAAAAAATATTAATAATGATCCAAATCAACTGAATTTTTCAGGAGATATACAAAATTTAATGTAGTTTTAGGATCTGTAAAGAAAATATTGACAATTGGCGGTTAAAATACAAGAAATACAGGCGAAGTAAACATTGATTTATGTGAATATTAAAAACATAATTAACTAGAAAAGAATGTATAGGCACCTATATGTGACGTATGTATAAAAATAGTTTATTTTTTCTAAATCAGACGTGATCAAATTCAAAACGATTCATTCCATCTACAGAGCCCGAATTTTTACGTCATATAAATTTGGTGCACTGTGCTGAACGTGCATCAACCCATGTTGTCACGACCACCACGCGAATCACAAAGGTCAGTTGTGTTTAGTTTTGTCACCTCTAGGACCCGCCCTGTTGCCACGTTTAGCCGCCATAATATAGGTGCGAAACGTTTTTCGACTACCTGATTGTATGTTTGCAGTTAATCGATCGCCGATGATTTGAACTGAGGATAAACGTCAGATAATTACTTTGAAATTACGTTGCTGATTGATTGTAACGTTTTCTGTTAACAAAACTAGGAATCCGGCAGACTTTTAGTTTATATAAAGTTCGCAAGAATAAATAAAATGCTACTTAGTGTAACGTAATGTAGGTTGTTTATAAGAATAATGTCAAAACATGTCCTAACAATAAATCGTGTCAGTCGTCGCGTGTCCGGAATTACGCTAGCGAGTGGCTCGGAATAGAGAGTGGGAGGGGCCAATAGCATGCTACAGTTGGGGCGGTGTTGTCAGAGTAGGGGGGTTTTCAGTAGATGTCAGGAAAATCATTTTTTAACACTTTTTTCAGATTTATTACCACAGAGATGCTTTTTGGTATTTTTTGATTAAAAGATTAAAATATACTCCCAGGCACAAAATTCTGCCACCCTTAAAATTTGACTAAGTTTGATGTTGCATAACTTTTTATTTTGTAATCCGATTTTTATGATTATAGTATCAGTGTGAAGATAAATTTATTGGTATTGTTTTTTTATTATTTTAATGGCTTATTCTTCGTTTAGGTAGGTTTATACCGGGGTAAATCAAAAACGTTGTTTTTTGCAATAAACTCTTCCTTTTAATCTTAGATGTAATCCTAACATTTCATTTTTCGAATTAGCCCATTATCTCTATTCTTTTATGAGCTACACATTTTGAAGTAAAGTATTGATTTCAGAGATTATTTTATTGAGAAAAACAATAATTTTATAATAATTTTAATAGTGTGTGTGTCCACCTCTCGCAGCAATAACAGCTCCATATCTTCGTCGTATCGAATGAATAAGGGCAGTTATTCTTTCTTGATCTATAGCTTGATGAATATTAATTAGAAGATATGGCTAGCAATAATGGAAGAATCTCCGTTAATGCTAGCCATGTAGCTCTTGTAAAGTTTGTGGTGGAATAGGACGACGACGAACATCTCTTTTAAGTTCATCGCACAAATGTTCGATTGGATTGAGGTCGGGACTCCAAGGAGGCCATTCCAATCTTCGTAGTCCAACCTCATACAAGTACTCGCTAATTACTCGTACTCCTAACTCATTACCTCGCGCAACGTGGGGCCTGTTACTATCATGCACCAGTATAAACTGATTTCCAGTGAAAGGAGCAAACGGAACAACAACTTCTTGGAGGACTTCGTCGATATAACGGTGGACATTGAGGGCTCCATTTTCAACAAATTCAAGATTGTAAAAATATCAGTACTTTATTGAAAAATGTGTCGCTTCTGGATGGAGATGGAGTTTTCCAAGTTCTTCAGTTCCACTTTGAGTTGGTTTCCACTTGGGAAACAGAACGGTTCTGGTCTAGTTAGTGGGAGTGTTCCCTCCTTTTCTAGCTAGATCGTTTGCTTGTTCATTACCTCCTATCTTCTTGGTGGGCTGGTACCCAAAGTAGGAGGATTTTATTTTCTTTGCCTAATTTGCTTAGTTTTTCTATAGGCAGTCTTTGACCAACTTCGAATCGAAGGTTATTGAATGACTAAGATCGACACACTTTTTATGTCTCAGTATTTTTGTAATAACGATTTTTTCGTGATATCCAGCGTGTAAATACTGTTTTATTCTGTTTGCCAAAAATTCTAAATGTTTTGTGATCGTGCCTGGTGCGCGAGCTTTTTTTTGTAACGCCTATGTAATGTTGCCAAGTCTCTTAATTGATACGAAATAGTTTGTTTCATTTTTTATTATTTTTAGATACGAATCAGATTTAATTAGATATTTTTTATTTATATTCAAAATAGTGCATATAATATTTGTAGGAAAAAAATCAAGGACGTATATGTGAAACAATAATATAATATTATTGTTCATTACAAGTACCTTGACTGGCTTATAGCGACGTCACTGGATCAACAACACGTGTTTAAGTATGCACCGTTGTCAAATTGTGTGCATGGTGAAGTTATTACACTATTGCAAACTGAAACATTAGAAAGAATGATTATTTAGATTAATAATTAATAATTAAGTACTAATAAAGGTTTGAAATAACTAAAAAGCTACTTGTAGTATGCAGAATTTCATATTCTATCAGAATATGTGTGTCATTGATCTAAAATGTTAGTAATTTTAAGACAGTCGCTAGGAGGGACAGCCCTATTTTCCAAAATCTTGTTTAGAGCTATACCGGGTGCGTCTCAAAAGTGGCTCACTCCTATAACTTTTTTATTTTTTCAGATAAAAAAATCCGATTTGGTATGTTAGTATATGACATAAATTAGGATTGATTGACGATTTAATTGTTTTTGATCACTTCCGGTTTCACCGGAAATGACTACAACTTTTGGTTTTTAAATGACACCCTCGGTATATTTTTACTTTATTCGATATAAAATGACACTCTAAATAGAATGACATATCATATGTCAACTTTTGACATTTTCGCGTATGGTTTATTTGAAATTGTAACGATAATAACATAATTGGTTCATAACGATAATTTGACTCGAAATACCAAGTGTGTGGTACCTACCAAATTATTCATAAAAAATATTTTTTCCAAATATGCGAATGAGCCTACCCTTGTTCCATTTGAAAAAATTGAGATATGATTAAAAAAAACGATTTGAGCATCTTTTAACCGACCAGGACTAGACACGAAAAATATTAGATGATCGAATCTATTTTTCCAAGGTTCGTTGATTAAAAATTAGTGCTCTTAACACAGCCATGGCACTCTAGATTGCAATTTAAAATGCAATTTTTTTATAAGCGAAAATATCAAAAGTTGACATATGATATGTCATTCTATTCTGATTGTCATTTTCTATCGAATTATATAACAATATACAGAGGGTGCCATTTAAAAATCAAAAGTTGTAGTTATTTTCGGTGAAACCACGGTGAAGTGACCAAAAACAATTGAATACGGCAATCAATTCTAATTTATGCCATATACTAACATAAAAAATCACGTTATTTTTATCTGAAAAAATAAAAAAAAGTTATAGGGGTGAGCCACTTTTGAGACGCACCCGGTATACAAAATTTAATGTACTTCTAGAATCTGTATAGTCCTGGGCGAGAAAATATTTTAAACTTTAGTTAAAACACCAAAAAAAACTGCTTGAAATAACTGCTAGTTTAGGTACATTAAAAACATATTTATCGAAAAAAAATCACACTTTGGCAACGTTTATTTCGAACACGTTTCACTTTACTAGATTCCCTTCCACCGCTGTATTTCATTCGCGAATTATGTTGCCTCTCTCCTGCGTCGCGGCAGGACTGCCTTCAGTTTTCAGTTGATGTCCGACTGTTTCCGACGCTTACAGTGTTCTATTTTCGCCCGATTCGTGCTGCTAAAATGTCGTCGGCCTTCCGTAAAGGGGCGCAGCCCGAAGTGGCCCCTTTTCCCTCGGGAAAGACACCGTTGTCCAACGTAAAAATCATCTTGTTCCAGCCTCTGGCGGACTCCAACGACCAGGAGAAAATGAGCCTGAACACGCTGATCGAGGCTGCCAAGTTTCTCGAGATGCAGGAGCAGGCCGAACAGCAACACCGGGCAACGTTGGAAACCGCACTGGCGGGGACGAACACCACCACTATCAGGCCAGTGACGTCGGCAGTGGTGAATGGGGGGCAAAATGCACAGCTACAAAACGGGGTAAGTTTGTAGCAATAATTTATTGTACAGGGTGGTCCCGAAACTTCGGCAGCATATTCTGCAGATAAAAATACGTAAAAAATTTCATTTTTATTTCGTTTTTTTCCAAATAATTTCTGAAGTATCGCCAATATTGGATGAAAATTGGTGTTTGGTAGTTTTTTGACGTGAGAAGTTTGATTTTAATGTCAATATGACTCCTACTTGTAGAGGGCGCCACCTACATATTTTTAACTGGTTTGAAGAGTAATAACTTTTCGCCCGTACCTGTATAAAACTAGAAACTAGTGAGCAAAAAAACATTCATTTACCACGTTTCTTTACGTAAAAAAGGTCTCTTGGTAAATATCGCTACGAATAATGTTTCCCTAGATATTTGGAATCGAAATTATCAATACCTGTCATTATTGACATAAATTAAACATATTGACTAAATACTTAATAGACTGAAATCATAAATTTGAAATGTTTTTGTGCTAAAAGTTCAACAGAAACTGTAACGCTAGCTAAAACTATGCACGTTTATAAGAACTTTTTTTCATATTTTTTGATGCAAATGAAATGAGTCATTGGCGTAGTCATTGCTTTTTTTAGAAAAATATTTCAGTGATAACCCATATGCACGTCCCTGGTAAATATGTTGACACTTTTTTAGCTTTAAACTATGGCACGTTTATAGTAACTTTTACCGTCAAAATTTCATTCGAAACGATAAAACTACTTGGAAGAAAATTATAATAAATCGAAAAAATATTAAGACTGTAACACCCTGTAGCCAAAGCAGAATCGGACCTATGTTGATATGAAAAATGAAAAATTTAATTTTTACGTGAGGAATATCTACCCACGGGAGATGGCATATGTTTTTTGAAACACCCTGTATAGTGTAATCATGTGTAATACAGGTACGGACGAAAAGTTATTACTCTTAACTTTAGAGATACTACAGGGTCGCAAAATTTTCACTTTTTTTCATATTTTTTGATGAGAAATCACCCCCTACAATATAGCCCGACATTTTTCAAACATCCTCTGTATACTAAAATAATAATCAACTATACAATATTACATAAAAGTTGACATGAATGTTTTTTTCCGTTTCAGACAACAGGATCAACAATTACTCTTCAACCCATCAAGCTAATCAACAGTACTACGTCTCCGCAAACGAACATTGGCACTATTCAAAATGCGCAGCCTACCCAGACGGTTGTTATCTCGAGCAATAATATTTCTTCAACGTTTTTGCAAGGAGTACAAGGTACGTTTACGAAAAACCAAGATTGGACACCTTAAAACACATAGAAAATAAATTTAATCATGTTGGTTTTATTTTAATAAAGTTTAAACCATTTAAACCAAATGAAATGAGGATCAGATTTCTCCAGAATTAAAAAAAAATAGTTTTATCGTAAAATTGTTTATATGTATATTAGGGTGAGCCAAAAAAACTAACCTATGGAATTTATGGGTTAAAATGAACCTAATAACCGAGAAAAAAATAACCCCAGAAGGTAGGATTTTTAGCACAATTTTAAAAGGTGTCGGGGAACATTCAAAGTATTCCATTTAAATAACACGTAAAAAAATCTTAGTTTACCGTTCTTGGTCTATAATAGCCTATAGTTGATGACGTCACGTGTAAGAATTAAGCCTTTTGCTTTAGATGGCATTGGCAAAAAACAAACTTTTGAAAAAATTAAATATTTATAAAAAAACGAAATCATCAACTTGTATTATTGTCAAATTTGATAAAAAAAACGTGCTTTTTAGGTCCAATTTCGTTTGCCACAGCTACACCAATCACATCCACTCCACAAACCTCGTCTCAGAATAATGGCGTTTCCCAATCCAGTCTCATACAGCCGAAAAAAGAACAAGATGGCCACATTTCCAGTACCACTTTGTTACAAAGCCAAAGACATAGGATTCTAAATAATTCTTTTGACATTATGAACCCCCTAGTTATAGATGAAAGCAACCCGGCTGATCAGAAGAAGATAAGACAACCACCTTTGGTATTTCGATCGGGTAAGCAATCGGGTAATTCCGGTACAACCTATACAGGGTCATGTTTCTACAATCCATTTCGCTAAAAATTACGACGATTCGAAGTCATTTTTATGTTTTCGCTTTTTTATATATTTTTATAACAATTTTAATAACTACCAACATTTATTCACAACGTAAAATAAAACAACAAATTATTGAGTCTACCCCACGTCTACCCTACATCATAGTTTTACATTTTTTAAATAATATTAGAACGACACTGATAAACCGGAATTTAAGTCGGCCATATTTGAGGCCCATCGCGGCGTACCTAAGATTTTTGATATGCTCCTTCCTTAGTCTTCTTATTTAAAGTATGGACTATATTATTTCGTCATGACGTACAATATTATGTCATTTAGGTACGAGGGAGGTTCATAACAAACTAGAGAAACATCGAAGAGCCCATCTGAAAGAATGTTTCGACGTTTTAAAGAAACAACTGCCCTCTAGCGGAGATGAAAAGAAGACGTCCAATTTGAGCATTCTACATTCATCACTCAGGTAAGAGCTTTTATATTTAGTACCTATTAGTAATTTATTATTTAATTATAATTAATAATTAAAATGAATTTTGAAGGGTTATTCTTCGATTTCAGATTCATCCAAACGTTGAAACGAAGAGAGCGCGAACTGGAACACGAGATGGAACGACTGGCTCGAGAAAAAATCAGTCACCAGCAACGATTGGCCAGTTTGAAAAAGGACATTTCCTCCCACTTCGATAACGTGGATTTCTCCAAACTTCTGCCCGACATTCCGCCCAGCGCTACTAGCCTCACGCAAAACAACGTCATCCACACTAAGGACGTTCACACCTCGATCACTATCGACAGGGGCACGGTCACTAGCCCGGTGGATCACACGAAAAACATCGTGATCAGTTGTATTGAATCGACGCGAAGTGAACAGATTCCCACCACGTCGATATGTTCCAGCGAAATGGGTCATGTGAACGGTGGTAGTGCCGCTGCGGTCAGCAGTTCGAACGCTGTGATAAGCCAGTCAAATTCTGTGATAGCCACGAACGGAGAAAACAAGATTTCGATTCCGATCCTGAGCAAATCGTTGCCGATTGTGACCCAAGCACCGGCAGTTACTAGTATTAAAGAAGTAAGTACGAAAATTATTTTACCAGTACATTTTTTCAGCTTTTTCAGCCATTTTGCTATTATGATATAGACTTCCTTGTACAGGGTGGTGTTCCGGAAACTTCGGCAGCATATTCTGCTGATAAAAATAAGTAAAAAATTTTGTATAAATGTATGTCCTAAGTTGCTTAGTTTCGGAGATACAGGGTGTAGAAATTTCATTTTTATTAATTATATCAAGATATTTAGAATGGAAATAGTCAATACATGTCATTATTGACTAAAAGCAAATGTTAAATAGATAGTTATTTGACTGAAATGATAAATTTGGGAACTTTTTTATTTTTTTTCAAAATTAATCATAAATTTTGCTTCGAAAAAATGATGATAAAACAGAACTTTTGGCACAAAAACATTTAAAATCAATGATTTCAATCTAACAACTATTTAGTCAACGTCATTGCCTGGAAACTTATATGGTGAAATTTTGATAAAATAATTTAGTGCATACTAAAAACACGGTATGTCGCTAATGGTAGGAAAAATAATTTTTTAGAGGTTACTAGTTTATTTGGTTGCCTGTGATATGCATATACAGGGTGTTTCCTAATTAATATAAAAAATAAAAAATCGTTAGAAAACGGATTAATACGAACTTTTTTACTTATTTTTATCTGCAGAATATGCTGTCAAAGTTTCCGGAATACAGTTAGGACCACATTGTATTTTCTTTTATTTATATATTCTAATATATTTAAATATACTTATAGGTATCTCAACCAGTACAAACGACAGGCATTTCAGTGTTGCCGATGCCGTACCCGGTGAACCAGGGACTGGTACTGCAAAAAGTGGCGATCGTACCTCACAAAGGCATCACAGACTTAACTCCATTGGTCTCAACTCATTTTATCACCACACCTCAGCAACTTAACGGTGAGACGACGTTTTTTTTATTTCATTTCAGCCAAAAAAAGATTTTTATACAGTACGTTTCAGTAAAGATGACGATTTTAGGAAATAATATTTACTATTCGTTCATATAAAAAATGTACTAAAAATCGTACAAAAAATTTAGGTGATCACATCCCTTGTTTTAATTGTGATTTTTCAGCGCATATAATATAGATTGACCTTTCTTCGTCATCTCTCTTGAAATGGACTATATATAAATGTTTTTATTTGTTTATAATAATAAAATATCGTATTTTTTTAGGGATTAGCGGTCAACTGAACGGAAAAGTGGTACCTTTGACACAGTACGTCGTCAAACCGGTGGTTGTGGTAAGCACTGCAAGTCCGCGTACTGGGAGCTAGTACCTTGGCTTGTAAACTTTCCAGTTTCCTTTGAATATAAGATTATATTTTTTTTATTCACTTATAGAAATTTTATGGTTATCAAAAAACAGAAAAAAAACCGGAGGTTTAGCAAGGAATAAAGTACCTAAAAACTGAAAATTTATGAAGACAAAATTAATTAACAAGTGTTCTCTTATTATTCTAATCTATTTATTATATAGATTGTCTCAACTGACTAAAATGTGTATAAGTATAAATAGATATAATTGTTAAACAATTACAATTTTCTTTCAAACTGATGTTTTTTAAAAAAATAAAGAGTTTTTTTTTAAGTAAAAATTTTAAATCAATTTATATAAGGGAACACTCTATTATGAATAAAGAATTAAAAGCAAAATCAAAACGGTGATATTTTACACTAGAGAAAATTATTTTTTGAAAAAAGACTTATTTATTTATTTTTATTTTTTACACAAACAAAAAAATATCTTATTAGGCGTATATGATGTTATGTTTTATTAATTTTGCTAGATTTTATTTGCGAATGGTAAATGCATGAGGGCGGGCGACAACTGAATCGAAACTAACATAAATATACAGGGTGTTCCATAGAAGAATGCACGCAGAGGTGTTTTTATTTTTTCCGGCTCTATTTGTAAAGAATAATACAACTATAAAAATTTTACATTTCCATTGCAGCTTTTCCTCTACAATGGTCGAACATTAACAAAATATTCCTTAGTTTGGACTAAATTTTCTCGAAAATAAAGACATAATTTAAAATCCCGTTACAACACGGAAATAGATTGAAGTTTTATGATTACAGTGATATATAATTTATATGGTTTTGTAACAAATCGCTCGCTTTTTTATGGCAAATACTCAAGCTCTGCAAACCTTAATCACAGCACGTGTGTTTGGAATTGTTGCAAAAGTTGCAATGGGATTGTGAAATTTATATTGTCGTATCTTTGCAACTAGAGATGTAAAAAAATAAAAACCAACGATCTGGAAAAGACCAGATTATTTCCCGGCGCATTCGCCATATTCTTCAAAAAGAAACCAGTGCTGCAGTGGTTTATAATGAATTATAGACTAACAGCTGCTTATATTCTTATACGGAACACCCTGTATACTCGTAAAGAACTGTATTATATATAGAAACGTTGTTATGTATTCCAAGATCCGTAATAAGACACAAAATGGACTGGTAAAATAGAAAACTTTAATCAAAATCTTAATTCAAACTTACTATAACAAAAGTAATTCAATATAAATACTGTGAACAAAGATAGTTTTAATCCGACTGTAGATGTAGACGTTTTATTTTCGATCGTTAGTGCTAAAAATCTGTGGTGCACATATAATAATTATCGTCACTGTGACATTTTTGAAGTATTAACTAAGTAAACGAGTACATAGTCATATAAAATATAATATTATTGTAACCATTAGATATTCTTTACGTCATTCTACGAACCGATCTGCCCAAAAAAGCGTAAACGCTATGAAGTAACAGTTTTACACAGTTCATTTCACTATAAATGACATTCACAGTCAATGGTATTTAATTCTAATCAAAATGTACGAATCTTCGTACAAAATTTTTAGGTAATATCATCCTTTGTTTTGTGTTTATTGACGTTGACTCGTAATTTATCGTGAAATGAACTGTATTAACTTCTTTTCGCACCATATACCGTACGATCGAAAAAAAAACGGCGTCAGGGATTTTCTATGGGAAATGTCATCGATCGTCATTTCCCAGCCAACAGGGCGCCGTTTTTTTTTCGATCATACGGTATTTAATCTTCAGAACTGCTAAATATCTTCTAACAACTTTTCGCAATATAAACTACCATCTACAGTGTCTTCCTTTTTGTTTTGTTATATTTTTGAGAGTTTCAATTTATTATTTTACATTTTACGTGTATTCATAATTTGAATATCTACTTCAAACTCTGTTTCTTCATTTTTTAGTCTAGTAAGTTATTAGATCTCTTATATTTTAATAAATTTAAAACCTACACATCTTAAAAAGATTGATGGCAAAATAAAATGTTTATTATGTGTTTAGACGAACTAATTTTGATTTTTTTTTCGCTGTATTCTGTTTTTATTTGTATAGTTTTTGCTGAAAACAAATCAATCTTTATATTTTTCGTGAAAATTTTAACTGTTCACTCAAAATAGTTCCTCTAAATATATATTAAACAATTGACTGGTGATTTTGTATGTTAGGCTTGTACGAGATAAGATTATATGTATGTAAATAGATGATTAAGTATTATTTAAAAATTGTAAATAGATTATTTTGTACATAAACTTCTCTTAACAGTGTACAAAATAAATTGAAAAGTAGAGAAAAAAATGTTATTGTAAATATATTTTAAAGTCTCAGACACACTGAGAATAAATTATACTATATTACGAATATAGAGATTCAAATATTAATCTTGTTTTAATAATGTTCCCCTTAATTTTTAGAATTGCATTTAAATCACTAAAAAAACCTCTTTTTAGCGTTAATTTGAATTGCCCGGTATACAGGGTATCATTGAAATGGTGTAAAAAATCCTAAAAATAGTAAAAAAAGTTCCTATAAGTATAGGGCGGGAAATGCATATTAAGGGAGCTAGGGGCAGTGAAAGGGTGTGGTGTAGTTTCCAAAAAATAAACCCACGTTGCAAAAAAATAACCTCAAAAAAGTTACTTACGAAACAACCCCTTACCCTTGCAAAAACTACCCTTTCCGCTTTTCCAAATAATTTTTCAGTGTCACGATTTGATTTAGGGTCAAAATTTATGGCAGGGATTTTTTTTCAAAATTTTATTTCGTTTTTTAAGCCTACAATTTAAAAAAAAAACCGTTTTTTAAATTCACCCTTTCAGTGCCCCTAACTATAGGAACCTATATACTTATAGGAACTTTTTTTACTATTTTTAGAAGTACTATCACCCCCCGATTTTTTTACACCATTTCAATGACACCCTGTATTACGGATTTTTGACCATAGATAAGGAGTACTGTTGACATTATCAAGAGACATTTGGACTAATTTAACCAGACCTATACAGGGTGTCCCAGAAATAAGTGCATATATTTTAAGTGGTGGTAGATCTCGATAAAACAAACATATATTTTCTCTTTATTATTTTTTCTCTTTTACTCTTATCGTTTTTCAAATAAGGCCAAAATAACGGGATTATTTTACTTCGAAAAATGGCTAGTTTAAATTTCTTAGTTCATAGATTACTTAGTTTCCCACTTTCCAACGAAAGATATGAAATAGAAAGAGATTACATTAGGAATGTAGCTGGGTGTAATGGATATTCTCCTTCACTAGTTGATAAATTAATTAGAAAACGTAGGTATAGGTTAATGATTTCTGAAAATTCGACTTTTCAAGTGAAGAAAGATACGTCTAAATATTTTTCGATACCGTTTGATAGAGAGTTATCCCGTGGTCTAAAAGGAATTTTTAAGAATGTCAATTATAAACTTGTGTATAGTGCTAATAATAAATTACAACAATTATTAGGTAATCCAAAGATAAAACACCTCCACTGGAAAGGTCGGGTATTTATGAAATTTCTTGTAAAGATTGTAATCAGAAATATGTTGGGCAAACTAGAAGATCAATATTAACTAGATTTAAAGAACATTTAGCTCAGATAAGATATGGTAGACCGGATAAATCTTGCGTTGCCGAACATATTGTTGATAATGAACATTGTATAGATCTTAATAATTTAAAATTAATTAAACAAGTCTCAAATTACAGGCAATTAGATGCATATGAAAGCATCAGAATTAATAAATGTAAAGATAGTATGAACAGAGTCAACGGTCCAATTCCTTCAAGTTCTTTGTTCCTACTACTCTAGTGGCGGAAATCTAACTGTTACGCTCAGTTGGCTCTGACTCGGTTGGCTAGATTTTGCCACGCCCACTCGGGGCCCACTGAGCGAGTATAAAAACGCTCACCTTGTAGATTGTACTTTAGTTTATAATCATCTGCTGATGATGCTAACATGGTTAGCGAAACGCGCGTCCAGTGTAAAAGTAAAAGTGTTTTGGTGTATTGTGGTGATTTAGTGTTTTTATTTTGCTGTGTAACACCAAAGGTTCCAACCCTCAACTGTAATCGAAAATTTCCAAAAAAAAATGATTTTTTGCTAAAATTTTGAGAACCGCTGGATCTTTTTTGGATTTTCTTTCTTGTAAATTTAATCTAATACCTATGTTGCCATATTATCAAGAAATTATGTTTTTTAACTAAAAAAATGTTCAATTATCACTTTTTTTTCGCGAAAAAAACCTCATAGGCGTGGTTCTGGGGGGTTGAACTATACTACCACTTAAAATATTTGCACTTATTTCTGGGACACCCTGTATAGAGATAGGGAGAAAGCAGACGTGATGATTTTATCAAGACGATGAAACGGAAAATATTTATACAGGGTTGTTCACCACATACGACACGGATTATTGTAGCTAAACGATTCCATTTTTACAAATTGTAAGTTTTGGGTTCGTTAAACGACTATTAGAGCTACAATTTAAAAATATTTTTACAAGATACAGAGCGTCCCAAATAAGTAAAAAATATTATAGTTGTATTTTTTTAAATGGAACTCTGTATATTATTAGTTTCTACGATTAAAATAAAGGTAAATTTGATTAAGGTTTATTACACTTAAATCTTACCGTTTTTGAAATAATTTCAATTTTATGAAATTGCAGTAAAAATTTTAAGGCTTTATTTTTCCAAGGTTATCAAAGTTTTTAATACTGAATATTTACTGAAGATTATTTATTGATCAGATACTGTGTTGCAATAATAAAAGTTTTACTACCTTATACAGAGTGTCCAAAAATGTATATTAAATAATTGCTAGCTTTAAACGCCAATAACTTGTTTAATTTAAATAGAACACCCTATATATTTTACGTGAATCGGATGCACAATGTAGTTGTCTATCAAATGGTTATATACCATTTTTTACATATCTCTTCAAGTTTTCGTAGAAAATGCATTTTCTTTTAATTATACCTCATTTATCACTATACCCATGGAATATTGACATTTTAAATTTTTTAAGTAGTAAATATTTAGTATTAAAACCTTTAACGCCCTTGGAGGAATGAAGTCTTAACTTTTTTACTGCAATTTCGCAAAATTGAAAATATTTCAAAAACGGTAAGGTTTAAGTGTGATAAACCTTAATCAAATTTACCTTTATTTCGATCGTAGAATCCAAAAATAGAATAACATACAGGGTGTTTGGTTTGGCTATTTAAAAAATACAACTATAATATTTTTTACTTATTTGGGACACTCTCTATCTTGTAAAAATATTCGTAGCTCTAATAGTCCTTCAACGAACCCAAAATTTACAATTTGTAAAAATCTAATCTCGTTTAGCTATATATAATACTATAAACAATACTCCGTATCGTATGTGGTGAACAACTCTGTATTTATCATAGATAAATGAAACAAGTTTAGATTAGAAAGTGCCCATAAGGACAATGTAAACACTATTTGGCGCTATTCTTGCAACGGTCGCGACCCAAAACTTTTGAAAATTTCGGAGCGGTTCGGCTTTTTCCGGAATTATATCGCCAAATATTGTTTATTCAAATTTATTATTTTCGTTTAATTTTATAAATAAAATACAGTGTGTTGCATACAAGAAACTTTATTTTATATAAGGACGCATGTATGAAATACCTATGAAACATTGGAAACCGACGTTATGCCACGATCCACGATGGTTTTTGCAGTTCACAGCCAGGGTTCGGAAGTAGTTAATTAAGATGTAATTTACCTGATTAACTACGTGTAGTTTTTCTTCAAAAACTACGGCTTTTCCCGTTCATTAACTACATGAAAACTACATTAATAAACTCTGTATTGATATTCTGAATAATTTTCCTTTGTATGAGGTGAAATAGAGATAATATGATGTAAATATTATATTTAAGCCATATTTCTTCTGTTTTCTTAAATACATTATGTGTTTTTAAAGCTTCAACTTATTATAACCTCAGCCAAATATTGTTTATTCAAATTTATTATTATTTTCGTTTAATTTTATAAATAAAATACAGTGTGTTGCATACAAGAAACTTTATTTACATATAATGTAGTTTGAAATACCTTTGAAACATTGGAACCGACGTTATGCCACGATCCACGATTTTTTGCAGTTCAGCACAGCTTTTAAGTTTTAATGCCACTTTTTCACAATTATCACCGGTTGGAGTAAATAAAAGTTGAATTGAACTCACAAAATAGCAATAATTACTTTGAAAATGGACACTATAAACACTTTTCGGAATTTCTTTAATGAGAGCGGTTTAGATTTTGAAAGATTATTATGATTTTTGAAGATTCTGACTTTGACAAGAGAAAATTATTTCTGTTTTTGTTTGCCGTTGTTCTTAGCGACCGCTATAGCAGCGCCAGATCGCGTATAACGGTCGCGACCCAAAATAATTTCGCGACCCAAAAATTTTTACGGGCTTTCCAATCTAAACTTGTTGCATTTATCTATGGTATTTATACAGCTTAAAAATGTAAAGGTTAGGTTAGGTTGAAAAAAAACAAAAGTTAAACTTTTCAAAATGTTTAGTGTTACGAATATTTTCTTCGTCGAAAAATGTGTATCTTTATCCACAAACGTCAGACGTCATCGTCAGGTTCCATTTTTATAAAATCTTCTAGCTTCACATTTCAGTGGCAGATTCATTTTCGCTACTTCTGGAAACAATAAGAAAATATTTAAAACACAATGCCGTATCCATTAATAAAAATACGAGTAAAAACATACTTAAAGTCGTCGTGCACGTCTGTCTTCATAATCGGAGCGACATCTTCGGGTTCTGTTTTTATAAAATCTTCTGATTTTATTTCATTAGTCACAGCTAAACATTCAGAATTTCTGGAATTAACCCGTTACATTATTATAACTAAATTAGTAAAATTTACTTAAAACCCATACTTAGAGTCATCCAAAGGCGAAGCGACATCATCAATTTCGATTTTAAAGCATCTAATATCACTTCTTCATCAGTTGAAGATGTACAATCGGCATTTCTGGAAACAATAAACAATTAAAATGACTAAAATGGATATTTTTGTTCCAATAGCAATATTTCAATAAGTTTTTTTGATAAGTGCCATTATTTTGAATACTTTGAAGTTTTTAAAACCAGTAACATTAAATTTAGGGTATTAGAAAAAATAAGCCTGAAGGCCTTGGCATTCTCTTCATATTTAAAACTGAGTAAGATCACGTCAAGTGGACCCCTTTTCCCACTTAGTCATGGAATTATATTTAATATATACAGGGTGGTTTGATCGGCAGCATATTCTGCAGACAAAAATAAGTAAAAAAAAAGTTCGTATAAATCTTTGAATAAGAAGACTAAGAAGGGAGCATACCAAAAACCTTAGGGTACACCGCGATGGGCCTCAAATATGGCCGACTTAAATTCCGGTTTATCAGTGTCGTTCTAATTTTATTTAAAAAATGTAAAACTATGATGTAGGGTAGACGTGGGGTAGACTCAATAATTTGTTGTTTTTATTTTACGTTGTGAATAAATGTTGGCAGTTATTAAAATTGTTATAAAATATATAATTCTAATAAAAATAGATAAGTTATAATAAGTATTTATTAACACAAACATCCGATACGCTACTGAAGCAGGTAAGTCAAATTAACGTATCTAAATTCTTTGACATCTAATCTTTGACAAGTAATAAATAAAAGCTAAAATGCAAGAAAAATATATAATTTAGTTAATTTAAGTGAATTTCATAAATGATCGGTTTACTACACGTATGTATATTATACCTATAGTCACTTACTAGCGAAAAGTTGTTCCATTATTTCATTCAATTTTTGCCGAGATCTACCGCACGCTACACAACCAATTATTTTAGTCTTGAGTCTTTTTCGATAGATCGCGATAGTGTCACTGTTAATTTAAGTTCTGCCACAATTTCCATCTAGATTTACTACCACAGATAACACATTATTATGTGTTATCTGTGTTACTACTTTATACAACTATCAGTAGTAGAATAAATAATAAATAACATAAAATAAGCTCCGTAAAGACTGACAAATCCACAAAATTTCAAATCAAATTCAAATGTGTCAAATGAATCGTCAAACAGAACTGTCAAGGATCCCCACCCTAGAGAGCTTTTATGGTGGCTTTTCCCGCCCACCATGCATGAATACATGGATAGCATTATGCTCCTTCCTTGGTCTTCTTATTCAAAGGTATAAATATATGTCCTAAAATGCTTAGTTTCGGAGATACAGGGTGTAGAAGTTTCATTTTTGTTTCGGTTTTTCCAAATAATTTCTGAAGCAACGTCAATATTCAGATAAAAATTGGTGTCTGGGAGTTTTTTGACATGAGTAATTTGATTTTGATATCGTCAATAGGCGTTTACGAAAATTATACCTTCGGTATTTACCGTTACCCAGCGGTAAACATATGTTTTATGTCAAATATGAATCTGGTAGAATATTTTTAAAACGAACTGGTTAATATCTTAAGATTAAATTTATTATACTAATTAATATAATAATAACATACAATTAATATAATAATAACAAGATTTTGTGCCACAACCTCTAAGCCTATAAGATGAATGAAAAGATGAATGAAGTAGATTCTTCATCCAATTCCAGTTAAATCTCTGCTGATATGTTCTTCAAAAAATGATTTTGAATTTCAGTCAATTTAATTTTTGAAATAGATAGCCACGTGTCTTTATATCACAGTGGCTATGGTAATCAATAATATTTTTCTAGGTTATACAAATTTTTTTGACGGGTAGTTTTTTCGTCCAAAAATTTTAAATATTTTTGTTCTCAAAAACGGTTAATATTAGATATAGAGTGTTTAATATCAAAATTCATAAAATTTTACAAAGAATTTAAGTGTGTAATAAAAATTAGGGGCACCCATTTAAAATAAGAAAGTTGCTGTCAACTTCCGGTATTTCCGGAAGTGCCGCCATATTGAAAATATTGTTAATCGACAGATCTCGTTGTAAAACAATGATGTGCAAAAATCTCCGATCTAGATATTGTGGTTCTCTAGAAACTTCTAATGCGCGCTCAGCCTGGGACACCCTGTATATGTAAAAGGAGTAAAGAAAATGAATAAAGCATTCAGACTTTATCTGTGACACTGTATATGATCCGTGTATTACACAAAATAAATTTACCTGGAATCAATATGATTATGATCAAGATGACGTTGTAAGCCTAGTTTTTGTTGTATATCTCTTATTACAGTGTGTACATGCAAACAACTGTCGGTCTTTCAGTAGCAAATTAATTTTCTTGTGTCTGAGAAAATTTGATTTATATTGCGTTTGAAAGCCACATGTGGTACAATGAAAGACTTTTTCCTCAGCTTCTTTCGATCTAATAAAAGAATACTTAAATATTACAGTCTTGTGAGTCTTGTAACCCTACAAAATATTTTTCATATAAAGTGTTTCAAAATTCGCCCAATAAACCCACTTTTTTAGTCATATATTTTTTAAATGTCAAATTTAACAAATACCCTTTGAATAAGAAGACTAAGGAAGGAGCATAATGCTATCCATGTATTCATGCATGGTGGGCGGAAAAAGGACTCTAGGGTGGGGATCCTTGACAGTTCTGTTTGACGATTCATTTGACACGTTTGAATTTGATTTGAAATTTTGTGGATTTGTCAGTCTTTACGGAGCTTATTTTATGTTATTTATTATTTATTCTACTACTGATAGTTGTAAGGTAGTAAATCTAGATGGAAATTGTGGCAGAACTTAAATTAACATTGACACTATCGCTATTTATCGAAAAAGACTCTAAAATAGTTGGTTGTGTAGCCTGCGGTAGATCTCGGCAAAAATCGAGTGAAATAATGGAACAACTTTTTTCTAGTAGGTGACTATATAATATACATACGTGTAGTAAACCGATCATTTATAAAATTCACTTAAATTAACTAATTATATATTTTTTCTTGCATTTTTGCTTTTATTTACTACTTGTCAAAGATTAGAGGTCAAAGAATTTAGATACGTCAATTTGACTTACCTGCTTCAGTAGCGTATCGGATGTTTATGGTTATAAATAATTATTATAACTTATCTATTTTTATTAGAATTTTATATTTTATAAGAATTTTCATAACTACCAACATTTATTCACAACGTAAAATAAAAACAAAATTATTGAATCTACCTATAACGTCTATCCTACATCATAGTTTTACATTTTTTAAATAAAATTAGAACGGCACTGATAAACCGGAAATTAAGTCGGCCATATTTGAGGCCCATCCCTGTGGACCTAAGATTTTTGATATGCTCCTTCCTTAGTCTTCTTATTCAAAGCAAATACCCGATAACAACAGCCTAAATTTTATTATGTCATTTTTAATCTATTTTAGAACAAAAACTATAATTCGCAAATATTCGCGATTTTATTATATATAGCTCTTTCAACGGTAAAATACCAGAAAAAAATCACTGGGTGGTTTTGATAAAAAAATTACTGTTGAAAACCCCATATGTATGATACCACGAATATCCGAAAAACCGTTAAAAATTCTGAAATACTTTAAATACAAAAAGTGTTCATTTTTTAATTCTCCATCTAATAAAAAAATTATATACAGGGTTATCCATTTAAAAAAAAACAAGAAAAACTATTTTATATTTTAAAAAGTTAGGCATACAATTTTGAACACGCTGTATGGTTAAATATTACGATATTTGTAAAAAAAGTAAGGACAGACCCACTACAGTAAATACCTAATATAGTTTTGATTTCAGGCCATTTCTTGTATTTTTAATAATTTTTTGAAAAAAGGCCGAAAGGTAATTTTGAACAGAACCTCAATGGTTTCTTGTAGACGCATCTGTGTTAATAAAGTAAAGTGTTCTCGAATAGTTGAATTTAAATATTTTAAATAGTTTTTTTTGTGCTACATGTCGTGTTTGGTAGCCGCAAATAGAACATTTATGGATATTTTCCTGCGGATTCTTTGACCTAAAATCAATTTTTTTAGTTCTTTAATTTTAATTTGATCAGAGATCATGTAGGAGCAATGTCTATTTACCTTTGAATAAGAAGACTAAGGAATCAAAAATCTTAGGTTCACCGCGATGGGACTCAAATAGGACCGACTTAAATTCCGGTTTATCAGTGCCGTTCTAATTTTATTTAAAAAATATAAAACTATTATGTAGGGTAGACGTGGGGTAGACTCAATATATCTTTTTTATTTTACGTTGTGAATAAATGTTGGTAGTTATTAAAATTGTTATAAAAACATATTATTATAATAAAAATAGATAAGTTTTAATAATTATTTATTAACACAAACATCCGATACGCTACTAAAGCAGGTAAGTCAAATTGACGTATCTAAATTCTTTGACATCTAATCTTTGACAAGCAAAAATGCAAGAAAAAATCTATAATTAGTTAATTTAAGTGAATTTCATAAATGATCGGTTTACTACACGTATGTATATTATATAGTCACTTACTAGCGAAAAGTTGTTCCATTATTTCACTCGATTTTTGCCGAGATCTACCGCACGCTACACAACCAACTATTTTAGAGTCTTTTTCGATAAATCGCGATAGTGTCACTGTTA